CCACCGGCGGGCTGGTCGAAGCGCTGCTCGATCTCGAGGAACTGCTTGCCCTCCTTCTGGGCCTTGGCCTTGGCCTTCTGGTCCTTCTTGGCAGCGAAGTAGTCGTCGCCCTCGCTCTTCTTGACCTGGACACCGAAGTTGGACCAGGCAGAGTCGTCCTTGCTGGCCTCGCGGCCCTTGGGCGCGGCAAGCGCGGCCCGCTTCTCGGCCTGAGCGGCGAGGTACTCGTCGAGGGTCATGGTCTTGTCCTCCTCCTCCTCGACGGGCTTCTCCTCCTCGGGCTTGGCCTCGCCCTCAGCGGCGGGGGCGCCGTTGGCCTCGATGTTCTCGGCCTTGGCGTCGGCCTCGGCCTTCTTCTCGACGTCGAGCTCGCGCTTGGGCTCGTCACCGCCCCAGCCCTGGTGAAGGTTCTTCTGGGTGTCGACGCGGTCGGTCTGCGAGTGACGGTCGAACTGACGGCCACGGCCGCCACGGGCACCGCGGGCACCACGGCCCCGGCCCTCGCTGCTGCGGCCACCACGGCCACCTGCAAGAAGATCAGAAAAAGAAACCAATGGGGTGCAAGCATGGTCCGGTGGGTCAGCTGCGGTGCTCTGGTACGAACAAGTTTTGCCGCAACGACGGGCGTGGAGGAGGCCTTGGCACAGAAGCCTGAGGGTCGAGGCCGGGCCGTAGATTGCCTGACCGGCATGCCTGCGAGCCATGATTGCGCGCCGTGGGACGTTCGAGCAGCATGCCGGAGACAGCGAAGCGAAACTCACCGCGAACGTCGCGCTGCTGGGCCTCGCCCTCAGCACCGGCCTCGGCGGGGATGCCGGTCCTGTTGTTCTTGGCGGCGTTGGTGCCACGGGGGTTAGGGTTGCGGGTGGCAGTCTTCTGGCCAGCGCCGGGGATGTTGCGGGGAGCCTGAGCAGCCGGAGCCTTGGCGGCGGGGGCCTTAGCGGCGGCGGGGGCGGCCTGGAAGTCGTCGCCGTCCTCTGTCGAGCAGAACGGTTGGAGCAGAGGTCGGCGCAAAAGTCAGCCGACTAGCTCGGCGATGACGAACGGGCGGTGAGGGCATGGCTGCCACGTCCTATGCCGGCAGCAAGGCCCGTCGTTCCCCTCGCTGCCGAAAAATGCGACCCGTTCGCTCAGCAGCACTCACCCGCGAGGGCCATAAAGGGGTTTCTGCTTGCGACCGACATGTCGTGCGGTCGACTTTACCGTTGCGGTGTGAACTGCGAGAAGAGTTGGCAGAAGATGGATGACGCAGATGGGCACAGGCGTAAGTGCCGGCTTCAAGTCTTTCTCGTCGGGAGGAGAGCGGCGGCATGATGGCGAGCAAGGCAGGCGAGGCGACGTAGGCGAGCCTCCTTTCGGGTGATCGGTGGTGGCGCCAGAGATAGGCAGCAGCGACGGCGATGGTAGCAGGCCGTAGGCAATGACTGACGAGGCTGGACCGACGACGACATGTCCCGACAGGTCGGCTCCGAGTGACGAGCTGCCGTGCTGGCGTGGACGGGCCGGGTGTCCGAACCCATCACTCGCATGCCGATGAGCCTGGCGACCGGAGACTGGCCGATGACAGGTCGATGGGATGGGCGATGCACCTTGCGACAGTGTTGCACACTGGTGCGCAGGTCATGCTGAGGGTCTGCCGGGTACGAGCAGCATCTTCCTCCATGAGATGAAGAACTGCCGTGCCTGTTTCAGACAGGGTGCCGCCTCGCTCTGCCATGTTGCTGTGCCGTACCCTGCTTGGCCTCGCGTTTGCAGAACGCATCCCGTCGTCTGCTAGGCTCTTGCACATGCTGGGCACGATCAATCGTCCCTGGTGCTACTTACCCTCTGACTTGGGAGCGGCGGGGAGAACGAACCTGTTTGGCGAACGAGGCAGGAGGCGGGTAGAGATGGAAGAGGGCAGAACAAGAGACGCGAGCAATTCAGAACCGATGGATCCCGCAACGATGGGATGATGAAAAGTCGAGCATGCCTCATCGAGCAAGAGCGAGAGCGAGAGCGAAGGAGGCAAGAAGAGGGCGGGGCCGATGGAACGTCTGACGCCGCCGTTTTCTTCCTGATCCCCGTCCCTTTTTCTTCTCTTCCTAGAGGGAAGGCTCACGACCCGGCGAAGACGAGAACGGCGAGTCGTGCGACCTCGATGGCTGTCTGACGGGTGTGACACGAACCGTAAAGGGGCTGTCCGAGGAGAGCGGAAAGGGGTCGTAGGGATGGGCTTGGATGGAGACGGGGAGGGGTGGTGAGGGGAGGATCACCTGGGAAAAGCAGACGGGGCGCCCCGGGCGGGACTGGCTGGCCTGGGCTGGGCTAGGCTGGGTGGGCACAGGGCCAAGCTGGGCTGGGCTAGGCTCGACCGGGCTGGACGAGCTCGACTGGCTCGGCGGCAGGCAGGCAGGCAGGCAGGCAGGCAGGCAGGCAGGCGACCGCACACGAGGCTGGCGGTTGGCGGCTGGCGGCTGGCGGGCGGGCAAGCGGGCACATCGAGGACAGAGCGGCAGAGAGCTCTTGGCGGGGTCCGTCGTCGTTTGCCTGCCTCGCCTCGCCTTCATCCGGCTGGCCTCTCCAACCGCTTTCTGTCCGCCAGCTCGCCGATATGGCAGAAGACCTTTCTTCAATCATTGCGCCGCTGCCGTTCTGCCCTTTCGTCTGGCTCTCTCTTCATCCGCAGGTCATGGAGCACGTACGGCGCAGGGGAGGGTTAGACGGTCCATAGCACTCTCTGACGCGGCCCAGGCTGGCTTGCAGCTGGTCGCCGTCTCGCACTCTCCCCGTCTCGTCTGCCTTCCGCAGCGCCGGGAAAATCGATCTCCAAATTGAATTGACTTTGAGCGGCAATTGTTCTGCTCTGGCAGGCGGCGCGGCTTTTTGAAATCGACACGGCCGCAGCAGCTAGGCAGTTTTGTATTCTGTCTCTAGGGACCCGCTCTGCGTGCCGGCTCCGACGTCGGCCACCGAGCCGACCAGCCAGCCCCACCCGTGCTTGCGCAGCCCGCACGCCCTCACTCTGGCTTCGGCCCGCCTGCCTACATGCTGCGGAGGCTGCGGACGGCGCCGACTCAGCGTCAGGTCTATGGCTCATCGCCGCATTCGATCCTGGCGCGCTCAGGTCTCTCCTTCCCTCTGTGATCCTTTTGGACTGGCAGGGTCGGCGCCGCCATCGCTGTCCCGCTCAGCACGGGCTGGCGGGGCGCGCGCCGTAGTACGCGATCGAGTTCAGTCCGTCGAGTACCGAGTCCGCAAGCAGCCACGGGGTCGCACCGGACAGACAGGACACACTCTTCTTCCTGTGACTCTGACAGACCATCACTCGGTCACAATCATCCGGGGCTTTGGCTCAACGCGCGGAGGCATTTTCACTGTTTTTGCTCTGGCGCCCCGTGCTGATCGCTTGGACCAGCAGCGAGATGCCAGAGACGGCTCTGGATCCCAAATGCCAGCGCCCGGGTGTCTCGAGGCGGAGAGGCAGATTGTGAGATCCATCGCCAGAGGGTGTGTTTGGGTGTGCTTGCGTGATACAAGATGCGAGGTGTGCAGGTCGTACAGCCAAAGAAAAAAGGTGGTCACGGCATCATGCGAAACAGAAGGGGGGATGTGGGGGGGATCGGGGGAATAGAGTGGGCGATGGAGTGAGAAGGGGCGAAGGGAGGCGCAGGGCAATCGCTGTCACCACTTAGAAGGCGGCAGCGGCCTCGGGCTGGACCTCGGCGGGAGCAGCCTCGGCGGCCTGAGCCGGCGCGGGAACGTCGGCGGGGCCCTGGCGCGACTCGGAGACGGGGGCGGTGATGGGGGCCTCCTCCTTGGGCTCGAGGATGGTGATGGCATCGGGGAGCGGGAAGGGCTTGCCGGCGCGGCCCTCCATGTCGGTGCCGAGCATGATCTTGACCTTGATTCCGAGGACACCCTGCTTCATCAGAACGTGCCTGACGGCGACGTCGACAAAGTCGCGGGCGGGCTGACCAGTGTGGATCATGAAGCCGTCGGTGAACTTCATCGACTTGGCACGGGCGGCGCGGAGCTTGCCCGAGATGATGACCTCGCAACCCTTGGCGCCCGACTCCATGACGAAGCGGAGGACACCGTAGGCGGCACGGCGGACGGCGAGACCGCCGAGCAGCTTGTAACGGAGCGACTCGCACTGGGCGACGGCGTGGAGGCCGCGGTTCTGCACCTTCTCGGCGTAGAGCTCGAGCGAGTTGTCGGGGAACTTGAAGCGCTTCTGGACGAGGGCGGTCAGCTCGCGGATGCGGCGGCCCTTGTCACCGAGAACCTCCTGGGTGTGGGTGGCACGGATGATGATCTCGGTGCGGGCGTGGGTGACACGGACCTCGCATCCCGAGTAGCCCTCCTCCGAGAGCTCGCGGGTGAAGAACTCGTTGAGCTCGGCGGCGAAGACACCGTCGGCAACGAACTGTAGCGGGCGGGCGCGGAACAGAGAACGGGACGAGCAGGTCGATGGTCAGTCAGGCTGGACGGCACGAGATGTCGAGTGATAACGGCAGCGCCGGCAGAGCAGGGCGCGGGTGGCGGAGATCGAGCTGTCGGGTCGAGGTAGTCGTCGAGCCAAAAGGCTGCTGACTGAGCCGGCGAAGCTGAGGTGGTGTCTATCGTCGTCGAAAAGAGTGCCGATACGAAGAGGGAGGGTCGTCTCTGGCCGTTGTCGTCACGCTGCCCGAAGCACCTGAGCCCGAGTGGCGTGCCACTCCTTCGGCCCACACTTCGGTGGGACGGCTCGCATGTGTCGGAGTCGATCCGCCATTCGGGACGCCTGTGTCCTTTTCGTGAATGTCCGTGCCGCCATTCCATAACTCCTGCAAGATTCGGCCCAATGTCCGACCTTAACTCGACGTGTCTGCCAGTCAGGAGCTGGCCAAGACCTCTGGGTATTGGTACCAAAAGTGGCGGAAAGGCCGCATGGTCGCTGAATCTCGATGGTCGGTCGAGACAGGTGGCGGGCGAGCGGAGCGATGCCACGCCGTCGTCGTGCTCGTCGTCTATATGTGGTCGATCGCCGGTAGGGGCGCGCTGCTGATCTTCGTGCTGCTCCTTGCTACGCTGCGGGCGCTGTCGATGCCTGGGCGATGTAGCTAGCCGCCGATCGGAGTGACACTAACCTTCCTCTTCTTGCTGATGTTGGCGGCGTTGCTCATTTTGTGGATCTTGATGGGGTTGGTGAGGAGGAGGACGGGGGCGGTGACGTGGGGAAGGGGCGTGAGTAGCGGTGAACGTCGGAGGTGTGCCCCCAGAAGGCCTGCTCCTGCTCCTGCCGCGCTGCGCCGCCCTGCCCAACCAGCGGCCGCCTTCCGACCACCTCCAGCGGCTTGCCGCTTTCGCGCTGTGGGCCGGCTCGCCTCTCCGAGGCCTGCTCTGGCTGGCGGGCTCCGAGCGGGGCGAGCCCCGGTGCCGCAAACCTCATCAGGCCTAGGCTGGCTGGCTTCGTGATCGAGCAGACCTCGGCCGAGGTTGGCCTGGCCACAGGGCTCGCGCGCTCAGGAAATAATGCAATTTTCAGGGGTTCGCTCCGCCGATTTGAGTTTTCATCGGGTATCGATCCCGACCAATGCTCGCCCGATTGGGGCCTGGCTCGTGCGCAAGGGCCGAGGCGTCGGGACAGCTGGACCCTGCATGGAGCAGCGTGCCCTGACGTCCGCCTTGCGTGTCCGCAGTGCCCCAGGCCATGCCGTGCTGAGCTGCTGGCAGGCCAGGCCAGACCAGCAGGCCAGACCAGCAGGCTACGATGAGGCTGACTTACCCGCCACAACCACCATCACCAGTCATCTCCACCGCCGCCGCCTCGTCGTCGCCGCGATAACTGCTGCTGTCTTGTTCGTCACCATCGCAGAGGTGCAGGAGATTGTCGTCGTCGATACCGCCCCCCTCTGCTCTTGCAGACCTCGATCTGATCCCGACCTTTGAGCTGCCCGAGCCATGTCGCCCAAGGTGCGGGCCGCTTCGCACGCTGGCAGCTGGTACACTGACAATGGTGGGTGATCCTTGCGATCGAACCCATAGCCCTCGTCTCGCTGCTTTTCGCGACTGCTTACACGCCGTTTGATGCTATGGATCTGCAGGCACAGAGCTCGACGGATCCCTGACGGCGTGGCTCAAGGCCGTGTCCCCTGCCAAGGTGCCTGCACCCGCTTCGGTCGCCGCCACCGTTGCCGAAGGCAGCGAAAGCAGCTCAGACGTTGATCTCCCCATCAAGGGCTGCCGCGCCATCATCGGACCGTGAGTGGCGCAATGATGGGCGCCGTAGGAGCGAGCGATATCGATTGGGTGACTCGCGACCAAGGCACTCCGGGCTGACTGGATCACTCCGTCCGATTTCTTTCGCTCCTCGCCCCTCCAAAGTCATGCCGGCTACTCGTATTCTGGACCTGCTGCGGCTTGGGCCTACGGCTGCATCGACACAGCTGGCATGTGAGTCCGACAAAGCTTCTCCCCAGAGTTGAACGGGCAACAAGTTCGGCTGATGGCCTCGCCGCCTTTGCTTCCTGGCTGGCGCAGCGAGAGGGTCTTCATCCTAGGTCCATCTCACCACGTCTACCTCGATGGTTGTGCCCTCTCCAAGTGTGACGAGTACGAGACGCCGCTGGGTAATCTCGTCATCGACAAAGACAGTGAGTCGAGCGCGCCCGCGCAGCCTTGCTTTGAGCTGCATTGAGTGCTGATCGAAATGCGACCTCTGCTTCGAATGCAGTGACGGCCGAGCTGGCCTCGACGGGAGAGTTCAGCACCATGTCGCAGAGCGTCGATGAGGACGAGCACAGCCTCGAGATGCATCTTCCCTACGTTCGAAAGGCATTCGAAGGGTGAGTGAGCGGCCAGCAGCAGCATCGAACGGCTTCGGTTCGGGCTTTGGCATAGCACGGCTGATCCCAGGCTCACGCCCTCCTGCGGCCCGTATGGCACTTCTCTCGTCTGTTGGCATTCGCGTCGCGTCCAGCTGCGACATCAAAATCGTCCCCATCATGGTCGGTGCCATCTCGACGCAGAAGGAGGATCGCTTTGGCAGGCTCCTGGCACCGTACCTGAAAGACCCGCACAACTTTTTCGTCGTGTCGAGCGACTTTTGCCACTGGTAGGTTCACGCGCACAAACAGTCCGTCATCGCGTTGCTAAACCGCACGGCGGTCTGGACCCTCTTGTCTCGATCGCAGGGGGGCCCGGTTCAGCTACACCTTCTACCGCCCTTCGCCCGGTGCGCCCTCGACGTCGCTGACGGCCCGAAGTGAGCGCTCAGTCTATGCCGACACGCCGATCCACCAGTCGATCCGTTCGCTCGACAACGAGGGCATGATGGCCATCACCCATCCCCACACCGCCACCTCGGCTGCTGGGGCCAAGACGGCCAAAGAATCCCGCGACGCATTCGCTTCCTACATCAAGTCGACCAAGAACACCGTGTGCGGTCGCCACCCCATCAGTGTCCTCCTTGCCGCCCTCGCCGAACTGCAGGGACGAGGCGTCAAGAGCGAGTGCAGGTTCACGAGGTACGAGGTGAGTCCCAAAAGCTCTGCCTCGACGCCTCGTTGTCTCCGTCCTGGTTCGGCGTTATATGCTGAACTTCAACCTTGTTCGCCCTGGCGGATCCGGCTCTGTCTGGGTCTCGAATCGTCGATACCGCGACGCCACAGCAAAGCAGCCAGTGCCTCACGCCCAAGGACAGCTCAGTCTCGTACGCTTCGGCCTTTGTCCGTTTCCTGTGACCCGGCTTTACCCCGCCTCTCTGCCAGTTGCGCCCGCGCCCAGTCCGCCGCCGAATCGCCTCTCAGCATCTCAGACGTCTCTTACTCCGCATCCAAGAACACCGACAACAACAGCAGCCCGCTCGATCTCAGACCAACAGAACAGCCTCACCCTTTACCAGCCACGCCCGACATCGAATCGACCCCCCGAATCGAATCACGGACGCACATCGTTTGGTGGTATTCTGCCGCCGCCGCGTGGCGTCGTCATGAACGTTACATTCGTGCGCTCTGCCTCGTATCTCGTCGACAGGCCGAGTCATGACGACATCGAGTTTAGGGAGGGCCCGGCGGTCCAGAACCAGGCGGCACGCCACCGGACGCGGCCATCTGGCTCTGAAGCTCCTGCAGCTTTTCAGCCAAGCGCTGGCTCTCGTTGACAATCTGGGCGGGGCACGAGTGAAAGCAAGGTGTGTCCGGGACGCGTCAGCCCTCTCCTGTCTCTCTCCGTCGGTCTCGATGGTGCGTGCAGGGAAAGGGAAAGATGTCGCGGCTACTCACGACGGCCTCGTCGACCCAGGCGCCCTTGAAGGTTTCGGCCTTGCGCATTTCCTCGGCGGTGAACGTGGACCCGAAACCGGCGGCGCCCGGCACGGTGCCGTTGCCCAGGATGGCGTCGAGGTCGCGCGACTGGCTCGCGATCCAGGTGCGCAGGTGTCCCTGCGGATCCTTGGCGAACGATGCGAGGAAGTCGCGCGCTGCTGAGCGATTGCGGATCGTGGCTGCTGCTTGTGCGACCTGCAGGGCGCGGCAAGGAGCAGAGGAGGGCAGAGGGCAGAGGGCAGAGGGCAGAGGCGACGAGTGTCAGCGTGTGGTACAGTCCCAAGCCGTGCGCGCGCGCGAGTCGTAGCGAGCGGGCCGGCCGGTAAACGCACCTTGTCGTCGAGCTCGGCAATCTCCTTGCTGACGGTGTCGTTGGCGTCGAACTTGGCAAGCACGCTGTGCTGCTTCTGTCGGATGGCCAGGTCCTCCATGTCGAGCTCGATGTCGTACGCCGTCGGGTGGCGGTACTCGGCCTTGTCGGTGCGCACGTAGTACTCGATGACGACGGGCTGCGGCGGGTGAAGGAAGCGGTTGAGGACCTCGGGGATGTGGTGGAAGTTGATCGACTCGGTCTTGAACAGCGCCTGCAGGGACGCGTCGCACTTGACGCGGCGGCGGTCGGTCTCGTCGAGCAGCTTGCGCTCCTTGACGTAGGTCCAGAGCGCCGCAATGACACCGGCACGCGTCTCCTCGCGGATGTCGAGCAGGCTGGCCAGCTCTGGTGCCAGCGAGTACCGCTCGGGCGAGTAGGCCGGGTAGATGACAATCTTGCACTTGGTGGGCACGCTGCCCTTGCGCTTGATCTCGAAGCCGTCGAGCGCCGGCTCCGCACTGGCCACCAGCGGCGCCTCCATTCCCTGCGTGCCTCCAAGACCGCCGGCACCGCCTCCCGCCTGCATGCCGGCGGCGGGTGCCACGCTGGGCGTGGGGCGGTGCCACTCGACGAGGTTGCCGCCGTCCGGATAGAGCGCCGGGTCGCGGACGAGCTCGACGACGCACGTCTTGATCAGGTTGGAAAACTTGTTGGCGCCTGTCCGGTTGATGCTGGCCTGCGCGCTCAGCGCGGTGTTGGCGCGCGATTTGAACGACGGCTCCAGCAGCCGCCCCTCGATCCTCAGCGTCCAGGATGGGACCGCGTCCCCGTCGCCCTCGCCGTCGCCCCTTGTGGCCGTGTCTCCGCCCTGCTGGTCTGCTCCTCCCGCGGCCGTTGCCGAGCCGCTCGCACCCTCGGCATCACCAGTGGGCGCGGGCGTGAGCTCCTTGTCCTTGTCCTTGGACTTTTTCTCTGCCTGCTGCCACGGCTGGTCGGCGCAGGTGTTGCTGAGGAAGATGCGGAGGGTCCGCTTGATCTTTGGCGGGCGCGAGAGTCCGTCGGTCAACTCCGCCCGCTTCCTCGCCACGGTCCAGTCGAGGCTCCTCTCCATCCTCTGCAGGTCGGCGTAGAAGGCAGACTCGGGCACCTGTCGCTTGAGGCTGGGCGGCAGGCTGCGATCCGTTGGCCTGCCGCGCTTCAAGCCTCGGAAGCCTTGGCCGGCGAGGACGTCCTGGGCGTTCTTTCGCCTGAGCGTCTGCGCAGCCTGCTGAGCAGCGTGTGCTTGTGCCTGGGCCTGGGCCTGTGCCTGGGCTTGGGCTTGTGCCTGAGCCTGGGCCTGGGCCTGAGCATGTGCCGCCTGCGGGTTATCCATGGCGTTTGAGCGAAGGTCGGGTCGATCCCAGGGCGCGGCAAGGTAGCTGGCAGGCGAGGCTGGAAGGGCTTGCGGGCCGGAGGTCTGGCGCTGACGAAGCTGGTGATGGCCGTGCGGATAGACGTGGGCGTGCGAGTCGGTCTGGGGCAAAGCCTGGCTCGACCGGGCTAGACCGGCACGCTGGACTGGGATAGGAGGTTGCCAGGCTGAGTCGGGGGCAGGATGGCCAGGGTCGCTGAAGCGGACAGAGTGTGCTGCAGCGGGATACGAGGTCGGCCGGTGCTGCGAGTGCGAGTGCGAGTGCGAGTGCGAGTGCTGCTGCTGCTGATGAGGGTGCAGAGGCGTATGGACCTTAGCTGTGCTGTCGTGGTGCGGATAGGGAGGCGAATAGGCGACGTCGGCGCTTCGCTGCAACTGGAAGTGCGCCGCCGGTTCCCGTTGCTGGGCAAAGGCTAGGTTCAGAGCAGGATGCGGGTGGTGCTGCTGGTGCTGCTGCTCGTGGTAGCTCTGATGATGGCCGTAGGACGGCTGTTGGTGCAGATGCTGAGGGTGATGGCGGTAGAGTGCGTCGGGCGTCGAGGAGTCGGGGCGGCTGGTGCGATGGAAAGTGGGGCTGGCGTGCTGCGGGGGCTGATGAAGCGGACGGGTGGATGACGAGGACGGGGAAGCGGCCGGGGAGTGATGATGGGCACCGAGGAAGGCGGGCGTGCCAGGGTTCGAGATGGAAGGCGTCGTGGCAGCTCGTGCATCCGCCGCCGCCGGAGTGTCACGACGTCGGCCGTCGTAACGCGCAGCCACCATCTTCGCGACGGGCAGACAGGCAATCGGCCGCCTCACTTCAGATCTGCCTGGCAGGAGCCCAATCGCCTTCGTTGACCCCGATGGCAACAGCGAGCCGCGGCAAGATCAGGAGGAGAGGTGAGGGCTCACCAACGACCGATCGGGGAGGACGGCAGAGGAGCGGGCAGCGCGGCGTCAGTCTGGCTGGGTCTGGCTGAGGAGGCTGCTCGCGAGGTGGCTGCCCCTTCCGACGGGCGTCGCTGCAGGGAGCTGGCAAGGCTGAGCCAGCAGAGCAAGGGGGGGAGGAGGGGGCGAGGCGATGCTGCTGCTGCTGCTCCTGAGGAGCGGTCGACGAGGCGGCAGGCAGAGCAGAGGTACGGTGCCTTGGCAGAGGAGAGGATCGATGGCAGCCCAACGGTACGCGCGGTGCCGCCCAGCCTGTGGTGGCCCTTCGGCTGCGACCGCATTGGGGTCGACCCCTGCCCGACGCACGCCGGCAAACTTTTGGGCGCGGGCGGGCGGGCAGGCCAAACCCCGCTCAGCCCTCGCTTGGCCGTGATCGGAGCCGTCCTCGTCTTTCTCGTGCGAAAAAAGGTCGGGGCAAGCACGGGCCAGGGTCGCAGCCCGACCAACAGGTTTCACGCCGAAGGAGGTCGAGCTCAGGTCCAGGCAGGGCCAGCGCCGTGCGTGCTACCTGTAGGGCAAGATCGTCATCCTCGACGCTCGCCCGTCCCCTCGAGGGCCACCTTGGGCCAGGGCCGGGCGGGGCAGTTGGGGACTGGGGCAGCGGCCTCGCTCCGCCTGGGCCCCAACAAGCAAGGGCCAGGTCCGTGAGCCTCCACCGCACCGCGCTGCGAGCCCAACACGTTTGGTCGTCCCGCCCCCCGCTCCGCCTCCTGTTCATCCTCGTACCACCATCCATCTCCTCTGCACTTTGCACACGTTTCGACCACCTCTCCACCCTCGCTAGTCCAACCCTCGCTCACCATGTCCGTCGAAGCCAAGTTCCAGAAGGCCGTCCAGATTGTCGGCTCCCTCCCCAAGGACGGGCCCGTCCAGCCCACCCAGGACGACCAGCTCAAGTTCTACGGTCTGTGAGTAGGCCGGGGGCCGTCGTCGTCGTACCGCGCAGACGGCCGTGTCGCCACTTTTCCTGACACCCTCTTCGCCCTTGTCCTGTATCACTCGATTCTTCGCCGCCATACAGCTTCAAGCAGGCCAACAACGGCGACGTCACCACCAGCCGACCTGGCATGTTTGGTGAGTTCCATGTCGTCGTCTCGACTCTGCGAGCGTCTCCTTGTCCATTCTGCCTGCTGTCGGTCCTGGCTGACTGTTGCGTTCCTCTCTACTCCTCTCTGCGTGCTTCTCTCCCCCTCCCGCAGACCTCCAGGGCAAGTACAAGTGGGACGCCTGGAAGTCCAACGAGGGCAAGTCCAAGGAGCAGGCCCAGCAGGAGTACGTCGACGCCCTCCTCGCCATCCTCGAGAAGCACAAGGGTGAGTGCAGCAGTGACGGTGGCCGACGCCCCGTCCGCCCGCCCGTCGATCCACCGGTTCGTTCGGTCCCATGCTCATCGTTGCCCGTTTTCCTCGTGCCCGCTTTCGCACCGACAGATGCCGGCGACTCTGCCAAGCACATCGAGGAGATCAACAGCGCCTAGATCTTTCCCCCGTTGCGTTCCGTCGCTTCGCCTTACTTTGGCTTTGTGACCCCCATACCGATACCGACACAGAAATCGAATCAGAGACGCTCCCATCCCTGACTGACTCAACGACGCCGAGTGCAGGGGGCGGGTGATGTGCATGCTGGGCGGCGATGCATGTCGTTGCCGTCGCTGCGGGGGGCGAAATGGAGACGAAAGCCTCGCTCGACGAGTGCAGACTGCCGGCATATCGCATGTTGGACCATTCGCCCGAAGCGCGCGCCCCCCAGTTGGTCGAGGGGCCAAGGGTCGCGACAAAACGGCCGGCGCGAGCCGAGGGGAGAAAAATGACGCGGGAAAAGGGTCGTGAAAATTGGAGGTTGATGGAAGGACTGTCCCGCAGAGTATCTCGTCTCGCTCCGCCATCGCGGCCACGGCTAGGTCGGTTTCGGAGGTGCGCGAAAGCATACAGCAGGAGCAGGAGCGAGACCTTGACTAGCCACCGTGGCTCAAACAGTACCAGATCAAGCCAGGGCGATCAGGGCAGCAAGGGGGGACCGGTTCGACGTTCTTTTCCGAATTTCAGCAGCCGCTCGCGCCGTCCGTCTATCTCAGGCTACATGCACGACGATCCGCGGACACAGACGAGGAGGGGGCGAAGCAGCAAGGAAGTCGAGAGGAGCGTGAGAGGGACAAAGGAAAGGCAAAGAGGAGGCGGATATCGAATCGGTCAGCGCACCGCTCTGCCCGCAACGACCCGGGACGACAAGACTGAGCATCTCGACAGCTCTAGCACGTACCCGTAGACGGCTGCTGCTGCTGCTGGCTGGCCACCTCGTAGGCCTTCTGGGCAAAGTAGCGCACGTCGGCATCCGAGTCCTCCTTGAGCTTCTCGAGCGCCGGCACGATCCGGCTCGCCACCACCTGCTTGCCCTCGGGCGTCTGGGTGAGGACGGATGCGAGCACCTCAAACGCCTTGGCCACGTTGAAGCGGATGTTGGGGATCGGGTCGTCGACCATGGGCACCACCGTCTCGAGCACACTGTCGTTGATGGCCGCCGTGTTGAGCGAGGGCGCCATCGTCGTAATGGCAAAGATGGTCGTCATCCGGTAGAGGTAGTTGGGGTGGGTGCCCATCTGCAGCACCTTGGGGATGATCGTCTGCCTGGCCCACTCGACGCCAAAGACGTCGGTGAGCTTCTTGAGGTTGACGGTGGCCGCCTCGCGGATGGAAAAGACGGTGTCGCCGAGCCAGGACATGCACAGGTTGCTCAGCTGCTCGTCAAAGAACTGGACGCCCAGCTGGTTGGCCAGCAGCGGAATGTACTCGATGATGGCCTGCCGCACGCGCCACTGCTTGTCCTCGGCCAGCTCGACGATGGCGGGCAGCAGCGACTGCGAGAGGAGCTCGATGCCAATCACCTCATTGACCTGCTCCAGCTTCGAGATGATGTTGAGGCGGACATCGGGGAACTCGTCCTTGAGCAGGTGGAGGAAGAGCGGCAGCAGGTGCTCGATGGTGGCCTCCTTGCCCAGCAGCGGCGCCAGCCCGCTGATCTGGGTGCCCAGCGCCGCGCGAACGTGCTGAGACGCGTCGCTCGAGAGCTCGCGCACGCACGGCATCAGGCGGGCCAGGATAATGTCCTGGTCGACCAGCTTGGCAAAGCCAGGCACCTGCCCGGCGCCCGCCGTCCGCACCTCGGCCTCGTTGTCCCGCAGCAGGTGGACAAAAGCCATGACCAGCTCGTCGCGGACCACATCCTCCCCGACAGCCGACGCGAGCTGCAGCAAGACAACAGCGAGGCGGAGGTGGAAAGGGATTCGCGATGTAGGCGGTCAGTGGCGGTCCAGCTCGATCGGACTCACAGCAGCAGCGTCGTCAAGTCCGCGTCCGTGCTGGCGGCACTCACCTTGACAAAGTGGTCGGCGACCATATACCGGACCCTCCAGCTCTTGTCCTGGACCGCGCTCCGGATCGATGGCAAAAGGTAGTTTTTCGACTCCTCGTGGTCGAGCGACTCGGCAATGGCGATGAGGTCCTGGACCGTGAGCAGGCGGACGCTGTCCTGGTCGTCGGAAGACAGCTTGCGGTAGAGCGGGATAATGTCCGAGACAATGAGCTCCTTTGTGAGATTCTTGGCAAAAGGCCCGAGGTCTCTTGCCGCTGCGCGTCGGACCATGGGGGTGTCGTCGTTGCAGAGGCCGGCAAACATCTTGATGAGCTGCTCCTGCGCCTCTGGTGACGCCTTGGGGTAGACGGCGGCGTATAGCGACGTGGCGCTGGTGCGCGACGTGAACCAGTCGCCGCTCGTGAGGCGGTTGAGGAGGGGGAGGTAGTACTCGGCCACCTGCGCTTCCGACAACACCTCGGCGATTTTTGTGATCGACTCCGAAGCCTACGACGGTAGAACGGGGCAAAGGGCAAGACGGGCAGCAGACAGGTCAGAGGTCTGCAGGTGCAGATGCGGGGGCTGCTACGACCGGGAAAGACGCGTGCGACGGATGGCAGCACCTCTCTGTGGATCGGCGGCCGAGGACAGACTCGTGCACGACGCTCACCTTCTCCCGAACGACGGTCTCCTCGACGGCGGCGAGGTTCTCTAGGGGGCCGAGGAGGAGGTGGGCAAAGGCGGGCCCGCCAAGGTACTCGACGAAGCCGGAGCCGAGCTCCTCTGCGAGGGCGAGGAGGACCTCGTCCTCATCGTCGAGCGAGTCCTGGAGGAAGGGGATGAGCTCGTTTCTGGCGCGCTTGGGTCCGAGAGCGAGTGCGATGGTCGAGATGCGGTGGATGGCGTTGAGTCTTAGGGTGACATCGTCGGACTTGAGCTCATCGATGAGGATGGCGATGGGGAAAAGCTCCTCGTCGTTGTTCATGCTGCTGGCGTGAGGCGATGCGCTGGGGATCGTGGGCGAGGGGCGAGGTCGAGAGGGCAGAGGCAGGCGAAAGTGCCGACAATCAAAGCAGAGGAGCGGAAGGAGACGGATGAATGAGCCGACGGCGGATTTGCGCGAGACGGCCTCGTCTGAGATGCGGCTGCAGAGAGCGGAAGAGGCTTACAGATGCTAGTCTGCGCACCGAACGGAAGAAAGGGCGGGCTGTGGGCGTCGATCCAACGAATGCAGAGAGAAACACAGGAAGAGGCGACAAGACGCGTTCCGCAAGGGTGAATCGGCGCTGTCTGTCTCGAATTGGGCTGGTGCAACGGGTTGGTGCAGCGACGGCAGCAGGGAGGAAGGTGCGCGAGGTGGACGGCGCGGTGCTGGTGTCGTTTTCACAGGGCGTCCAAGTGAGAGTAGTGGCGCGGCTGCCTGACAAGACTGACGAGAGATCGATGGGAGAGCGGGCCAAGGCGAAGTGCGACGAGGGGAGAATAGAAAGAGTGAAGGGTGAATGCGATAGGCAGACAGTAGAGGTGTGCGCGTTGGATTGTGTGTGAGTGCGAGAGAGGGGGTGGAAGGGCGGCGGTGATGGTGGTGTTGGTGCGACGACGAGCCAAGAAGGCGGCGGCGGGCGGCGGACGGCGTGGCGGCGTGGCGGCGTTGGGGGCTGCCGACACACACACGCACACCGGCCACCCTTTGGCCTCGCCCTGCCTCACGCGCAAACACATCCATCCATCCATACACGTACGCACGGCTGGAGCCTGGGCCAGGTCAGGTCGTGGGCAGGCGCTGGGCTATCTGGCCCCTCGACTACTCTGGCAGGCCAGGCCAGGCCAGGCCAGACCGACGCGCAGGCCACCCCGCCTGGCGTTGACCTGGAGAGCGTGGCCTGCACGAAAAAAAGGGAAAAATCGCCTGCTGGCTTGGCTGCTTTTCTGCCAGGCCCCCCCGCCTGACGCGAAGCATGCCAGGCGATCTCGAGCCCTGGCGTGCGTGCCTGGCCAGCAGGCTGGTCCATGGGGCCTCCATCTGGCTTGCGTCAGGATTGGCCCTCTCTATCTCTCTGTGTGTCCATCCAGCCCGACAGATTTGAGATCGAAAGGCCAAACAAGCTAAGAGACCCACGGACCACCCACGCAACTCGCTGGCGCAGGGTCCAACACCTCTTCGCTCGCCCGCTGCGCCCTCCTCCACCGCCGCCACTACTGCCACTGCCACCAACCATCATCCCGGCCTCGTCTCTTCGTCTTCTGCTCGCCATCGTCTCGTCGACGCATTGGACCAGACCGGCCCTCCGATCAACCTCTCGCGCAATGACCACGTCCGGCCCTAGACCTTCCCTCGTGTCTATACTCCAGTCCCATCGCGCTCCTCGCGGCAGCAACCACATCAGCCCGCCGGAGCAGCGCCTCGCACCGATACACAGACAGCATGTGATCCTACCCACTGTCCACCCACTGTCCACCACATAGACTCACAGCAGACCTCGACCGTCCTAGTACCGCCGCTACCACCGCCGCCGCCATGGTCGGCCTCGATGCGGATCCGTCAAAGCGGCAGACGTCCCCGCCGCCAAAGCAGAAGCACAGCTTCTTCCGCGTCCGACTCATCAACATCGACCATGTCCTCACATACCCATCGGGCCTCGACCGCACAGAGTGCGCCTTCAACGCAGAGGGACAGCCCCTCCGCAAGGTACCCGTCCTCCGCATCTTTGGCGCCACCCCCGCCGGTCAGCGCGTGTGCCTCCATGTGCACAACGTCTTCCCCTACTGCTACGTAAGGTACAAGGCAAGCCTCGAGCCCGCCCACGTCCTCCGCTACATCCACCGGCTCGGCCGCGAGCTCAACGCGGCCATGGCCGTCTCTCTCCGCCGTAACCCAGACGACCCGGAGAGCAACCAGTTCATCGCCGCCATCCACCTTTGCAAGGGCGTCGACTTCTACGGCTACCACCTCGGCTACACCTACTTCCTCAAGATCTCCTTCATCGACCCATCCCACAGCTACCGCCTCGCCGCCATCCTCGAGAGCGGAGGCGTAATGAAGACCGTATTCCAGCCCTACGAGATCCACATCCGATACCAGCTCCAGTTCATGCTCGACTACAGCATCTTTGGCTGCGACTACCTCGACCTCGACGACGCACGCTTCCGCCTCCCCGTGCCCGAAGGCGACGACGTCGCATCCGACGAGCACGGGACCCCGCTTGGCCCCGAAGCCAAGCTGTGGAACCGCAACACGATCCCAACCGCCAAGCTGCAGGGCCAGGAGATCCACCGAGCCTCGCACTGCCAGATCGAGATCGACGCCAACGCACATTGGATCGTCAACCGACGCAAGCTCCGTGCACGAGAGCTCCACCACGACTTTGACGAGAACGCCTCCGCCGCTGCCGCAGGTGCGGACCAGGACGAGAAGCTCGTGCCTAGCCTCCGAGGTCTCTGGGACGACGAGAGGATGCGCCGCCTCGCTGCAGGGCTACCGCCGTCGATCCCGGTCGGTGGCGACGCGGCCGAGGTCCAGCGACGCCAGTACCAGACGGGCGAAAGCCCAAAGTGGATGTCAGAGGAGCGTATGCGGATGCTGCTCGCCAAGCGCCTCGCCGACGAAAAGGCAAAGACGGTCGAGCGGGAACGCAGGGCCGACCACTTTACCAAGCGACCGCCGCTCGACGACTACATCATGACGACTTTCGATGCGGTCGAGGTTTTTCATCCTTACTCGGACGATGATCCGACGACCACCGCCGCCGCTGCCGTCGCCGATCCATACACGCAGCGCTCTGGTCCAGCCTCATCTTGCCGGCTTTACGATCTCGATTACTCGATGACACAAGGCGGAACCCTCCGGCCTTCCGCCGTTCGCGAAGGCAACCAGGCTGACGTCGATGAAGACGACGATGAGAGCGAGGTGGACCTCAAATTCTTCAAGAGTCAAGAGTTTCGGTCAAGGCTGGACCAGGTAGAAACGGCAAAGTCGGCCCAAGAGCATGACGTCGACACGGACCTGGAGGAGGACGAGGCCGACCAGGCGCCACCGGACGAGGTCGATGGGGAGGCTCCTGGCACCCCGGTCCTCGGCAGCAAGCCGCTGCACCGTACCGGCAGCAACCGTTCATCGCAGAGCCTCTTCACCAACAGCCCCACGCCGAGCCCCAAGAAGGTCAAGCTGCGAGCTGAGAATGGCGACGACGGCCTGATGCAGCCTCGCGTCGGTACGAGCACGGCAGTGGGTGCTAGCGGCCCTTCCGGAGAAGGGTCGGATCTATCAAGACAGATCAAGACGTGGTCTGAGGCCGCTTCGCGAAGCGCCGCAGCGACCACTCGTTCCGGTACCAATCCATCCCCGGCGGGAAAGACGCCTCGCGTGCGTTTCGCCAGCAACTCCACGGCAACGCCGCCTAACGGTCAGGCCGAGGTACCGCGACCGCCTGAAATCCTTACCCAGCAGCATCCCGCCTCGCTTGCTTCGACCGCATCAACCGCCTCGACGGGGACGACCGCCCCCCTTTTTGCTTCGGTGGCAGCTTCAGCGGTCAGTCGCCCAGCGCGCGCTGCTGATCGCCGGGCGTCGTCGTCCCGGTGCTACACCTTCCGCGAGCCCGCCCCTCCGCGCCTGGCGGTGACGCAGTCATTTGGCCATTTCGACATGGTACGTGAGCTGCACCAGGATCCATTCTTCAGCAGGCCGGAAGACGTGCCGGAGCACGCGCGTGAGTACGCCGGCCGGCTCTTCCGCTTCCAGTCGAACACGCTGTCGTTTCTACGCCACTTCCAGCACTGGGACAGCGAGAGTCCGGGCGAGGCTACAGGCCCGACGCCCAATCGGCGGCGCTGGCAGTTTGGACCGCCGCCACCGACCCGGCTCGAGGTGGATGCCTGGAGGTACAACGAGGCGCTGGCGGTGCGCGAAAAGTCGCGGCGGCGGCGTCGCAGACTGCTGTCACAAATTGAGGGGACGACGCAGCCCAACGAGTTCGGCTTCAAGGTGAGCCAGCACGCGCCCACCTCGCTGGTGGCTCGCGACAAGCAGCACATGACGATCCTGGCCGTCGAGGTGCATTGCTGCACCCGCGGCGGCCTCTTTCCCGACCCGGCCCAGGACGCAGTCGAGGCCATCGCGTACAGCTTTCAGAACGAAGACGAAGAGCTGCAGGATACCGGATCGCGATCGGACCTGCGGACTGGCCTGCTGATCAATGTCGAAGGCGGCAGCGGCCTCATCCACGTCGAGCGGCTCGGGCTCAGCAATCTCGCTATCGAGACTGTGGACAGTGAGCTGGACCTCTTCAACGCATTGGTCGATCTCGTGCGCGCCTTTGATCCCGAGATCCTGGTGGGCTGGGAGATCCATAGCGCGTCGTGGGGCTACCTCGTCGAGCGGGCCATGAGGGCGTTCGACTACGACCTGGTCCCCGAACTCGGCCGCGTCCTTTATCAGAACACGGGTCGCGCCGGCGGCAAGTCGGACAATTATGCCTGGACGCAGAGCTCGGCGCTGCGGATCACGGGTCGCCATGTGCTCAACCTGTGGCGGCTGATGAAGGGCGAGCTGGCGCTCAACGTCTACAGCCGGGAGAACGTGTGCTACCACCTGCTTCATCGCCGCATACCCAAATTCTCCTACGAGCAGCTGACCGAGTGGTATCGCAGCGGACGTGCCGAGGGCATCGTCCGGACGCTGCGCTACTACGTCGATGCCGCCGAGCTCGTCCTCGAAATCATCCAGGAGTCCGAGTACGTGCTGCGGACCGCCGAGTTTGCGCGCATCTACGGCATCGACTTTTTCTCAGTCATCAGCCGCGGCTCGCAGTTCAAGGTTGAGTCGATTATGCTGCGGATCGCCAAGCCCGAGAGCTTCGTGCTCATCTCGCCCAACCGCTCGCAGGTGGGCAAGCAGAATGCCGCCGAGGCGCTGCCGCTCATCATGGAGCCGCAATCGGCCTTCTACAAGGGTCCGCTGATGGTGCTCGACTTCCAGTCGCTCTACCCGAGCATCATGATCGCGCACAACTTCTGCTACTCGACGTGCCTGGGCCGCGTCTCGGCGTTCCGCGGTACGTCAAAGTTTGGCGTCACCGAGCTCGAGCTGCCCAAGGGGCTGCTGAGCCTGCTCAAGGACGACGTCAACATCTCGTCCAACGGCCTGCTATTTGTCAAGCCCCACGTTCGCCGCAGCCTGCTGGCCAAGATGCTCTCCGAGATCCTCGACACGCGCGTCATGGTGAAAGGCTCGATGAAGGGGACCAAGGGCGACCGCGCGTTCCAGCGGATCCAGAACGCGCGTCAGCTCTCGCTCAAGCTGCTGGCCAACGTCACCTACGGCTACACGAGCGCGTCCTACTCGGGACGGATGCCTTGCGTCGAGATCGCCGACGCCATCGTCCAGACGGGCCGCGAGACGCTGGAAAAGGCGATGGACCTCATCAACGGCTCGGAGCGCTGGAACGCCCAGGTCGTCTACGGCGACACCGACAGCTTGTTTGTCTACCTGCCCGGGCGCACCAAGGACGACGCCTTCCGCATCGGCTACGAGATCGCCGACGCCGTCACTCTGATGAACCCGGCGCCCGTCAAGCTCAAGTTTGAAAAGGTCTACCTGCCTTCGGTGCTCTTGGCAAAGAAGCGCTACGTGGGCTTCAAGTACGAGACGCCCGACGAGACCGAGCCGGGCTTCGACGCCAAGGGCATCGAGACGGTGCGACGCGACGGCCATCCGGCGCTGCAGCGCATCCTCGAGGCGTCGATCCGCATCCTCTTCCGCTCGCGCGACCTGTCGGCCGTCAAGGCCTTTTGCCAGCGCCAGTTCCGCAAGATTATCGAGGGCCGCGTGTCGATCCAGGACTTCATCTTTGCCAAAGAGGTGCGGCTGGGCAGCTACAGCGACAAGGTGGCGCCGCCGCCCGGCGCGGCGGTGGCGTCGCGCAAGATGCTGGCCGACCCGCGCAGCGAGCCGCAGCACGCCGAGCGCGTGCCCTATATTATTTCGCAGGGCGAGCCAAAGGCGCGCCTCAATGCTCAGGCCGTGTCGCCCGAGGTGATGCTGCGCAACCCGCAGATGCAGATCAACGCCCAGTACTACATCACCCGCACCATCATCCCGCCGCTGGCCCGCGTCTTTAACCTGCTCGGCGCCGACGTCGAAGCGTGGTACCACGAGCTGCCCAAGACGGTCAACACGCGGTGGCACCGGCGACCTATAGCTCCGCCCGTCGCCGTCGGCAGCGATGCCAGAAAGGGAGCAGGGGCCGACGGAGCCGCCAGCGACGGTGAGGGAAAGGTTGATGGCGAAGCAGACGACGCCGTGGTGGGCGGCAAGACGCGGTCGGCGGGTGCATCCTCGGCGGCGGCGGCGTTGCCTACGCTCAACGTGCACTACCGCACCGAGACGTGCTACGTGTGCACGGCGCGGACCGAGAACCAAGTCTGCCTCGACTGCCAGCAGGATCCGCTGTCGAGCATCCACCGGACGCAGTCGGCGCTCCACTTCAACGAGGTGCGGCTGCGCGCCATCGAGCACATCTGCGCCACGTGCGCCGGCTTGGCGCCGAGCGCGCGCGGCGACGTGCCCTGCATCTCGCTCGACTGCCCCATCCTCTACTCGAAAGTCAAGAGCCAGAGGGACACGGACGACTCGCGCGCCGTCGCCGAGTACGTAGCTGCGCTCCTGGATGGCGAGGAGACGCGGCGGGGCGAGGTGCGGCTCGCCTGGCGATCCAACGCAGACGGAGCGTGACGATCAAGAGGGCGCGATGGCGTTGGAGCAAGGATGTTAACATACTGCAAGAGGCCCGACGATGGTTGCGAAAGAAGGGGCATGCTAGGACAACAAAGCGAGGCGCAGGGGCAGGGAGGGTATGTGAATGCAGAGCGGTAGGCGTTCATGGTAACGAGAAACAGAAAGAGAAGGGAGAGAGTTGCGCTGGCCGCCGTGGGAATCAAGCCACCAGCTGCGGCCGCTGGGTCACGGCATCTCCGCCACCATCGCCGCCGACGACGATCGGAGGGCCGTTGGGACCAGTCCACGGTTCGACGTCGCACAGAGACGGCGCCTCGTCGCTGCTGCTGCTGCTGCTGCTGCTGCTGCTGCTGCTATTGCCGCTCTCTTCTCCGCGTTTGCGTTCGTCGTCGGCCTCGCTCGCCGTCGAGACGAGCGAGCAAGGCAGACCGGTCTCGGACGACCCGCTGCTGGCGCCGCCGTCGTCGTCCGAGGCGCGTCGAAACGTGCGCTGCCGCAAGAGGAAGGGGTGGTGCGTGGCGGCCGACGAGAGGGTGCGCTTGAGCTGGCGCTCAAACTCGCGCAGCGTCGGTAGCGACGGCGACGTCTTTGTCGATGCCGTCGTTGGCGGCGGCGGCTTGGCTTGTTCTTGCACCTGCACCTGTTCCTGCACCTGCATCTGATCCGGAGCCGTGCCAAAGACGACGAGAGGCGGATCGGAGATCAGGCACGACATGTGCGAACGTGGCCGCTGCGGCCCCGATGGGTCTTGGACCAGCACCGGCTCGAGGATGTCGCACGACTCGCCGAGATCGTCGGGAAATGCGTTTTCCCGCTTGGGCGTATCGGCCTCGACGGCCGAAGCGTAGAGGGCTTCCTGGATCGCCTCCTCGACCCGGTCGAGCCGGGGGATCGCCTTGGGCGGCGGCGACGCAGACTGACGGTGCTGCGAGCGCGCCGGCCGGCTCGAGGGCGTGGGCGGCCTGCTGCTGATGCTGCTGCTGTCATCGCTGCGTGACGCCGACGACATGGCCTCCGAACTGAGCGGCGCTTGGATCTCGTCGTGCAAAAGACCGAGGCTTTTGTCGCTGCCACCCTCAGCACCGCAGACGCCAGCATGTGACGGGGCCATGTTCATGGTCTCCTCCTTTTTGAGGTCGATGGGCGGACCATGCGCGGGCTCACAGATGAGAGGAAGCGGCGTCGACGTCGCCGTGCCGCTCCTCGCTGGGCTTGCTTCCGGCTCAATGGACCGGAGGGCCATGATTGGGCTGCCGCCCTGCAGATGGACGACCGACTTGGGCGGCGAGATGGGCCCGCGCTTCGACGCGCGCCGCTTCAGGAACCCGGGCCTGCGCGAGCGTGACGACGACGACGACGTCGACGACGACAATGACAAGGAAGAAAACGATGCAGGGACCGACGTACTGGCGTCGGAGGGTGTCCGTGAGGACGATGGGGAGCGGCGGAAAAACGACAGGCTTCGCAGCAGTCCCTTCCCCGCTGGCTTCTTGGATGCGCTCCCGCCGCTCTCAGCCGCAATTGTGGTGGTGGCGGCGGCGGTGGAGGGGGTCTTGCCATCGCGTTCCTCGTCCCGACTCCGGCTCCGGCTCCGGTCCTGGCTCGAGAACCAGCGCAGATGGCCGCGTCGACTGGGGGGCTGTTGCTGCGACTTTGCCGCCCTTTCCGCATCGACGAGGCTGCGGATCGTCGTGTCTGGATGTTCGCTCCGCCTGGCCTCGACGGCCGCCTCGTCGATGTCGAGGACAAACTGCCTTCTCAGCGGCGTCATGCTCGCCGGGCCGACGACGTCGCCACGCTCCAGCATCGGCGCCAGCTGCGGTTCGCCCGAGCTCGCGCTTCGCCGCAGTGTCCTCGTCGTCGCTTCCGCCTCGGCCGCCACGGGAGGAGTCAGGAAGGCCGAACGAGCCTGTTCGGCGGCAAGGTGCGGGCTGTGTGGCATGGAAGGCGTGGGGGGCATGGGTGGTAGCGCCTCGAGCAGGTCGGGCGTGAGCTTGGGAGGCGCCTTGCGACGGATCGTCGTCGTGCTCCGCCTCGGCGAGCTGCATGGCGTGCCGACGACGACACGCTCCGACGATGGCGCCAACGTCTCTGTCAGCGTGAGAGCGGCGGGCATCGTTGCCAGATTGAAAACGCCCGCGGGGCTGTCCGAGAATTCGAGAGGGCCTCCTTGGATGCTGAAGGGGCGCCTGGCTGGAATCGACCTCGAGAGAGATGGGATGTGCGAGAGAGATGGCTTCTTTCGCGTGCACCGTACGCTGGACTGAGTTTTGGGAGTAGGACGGGCGGGCTTAGGCCACCGTGGATCTCGAAGGACGAGTTGTCAACAGAACGAGCGAAGGAGACGATGGTAGGGGAACCCAGGATGAGGACGAGGATGAGCGACCAAGTAGGAGGTGGAGACGGGCGGCCGTCGTCTTTACCTGGAGGATACGGTGGGAAGGGGGTTATGGGGGCGAAGCTGGGGAGCACAACCGTACCCGTCCTTCTAGCTCGATCTTTGTACCCACCACGGAAGTGGGGGATCGTGGAGCGAGCGAGCAGGAGCGAGGAGCGAACATACAGCTGGCATCCTAGCCTCTCGTGTCCCGAGCGCGGGGCCCGTTGCTATGTATCGGACCTCCTCCGACCAAAGGTGGGGGCGCAGCGACAAGACCACCTACCGACGTGTACACGCAGGCCGTCTGCCTCTCCCGAGCGAGCTACCGCACTGCCTGTCTGTACAGATCTGCGCCTGAGGACGTTGTCCGGCGTCGTGGGTCGAGAGAAACCATTACCGACGCCCACCCAGGAACGTACGCCTCCGATTCCACGCAGGCAGGCACCGCCAATCTCGTAGCGTGCAATAGAATTGGTGCGGTAGACGCGGCCGTAAGTCGTCGGCGTGTTGCCGCTGGTTATGTGTCGGCGTAGGCCCAGCCCGAGGCCCGTTGTCCGATACGGCACGGCACGGTTACGGATGGGCTGGTTTGGCGCAGTCGGGATGAGGACGAGGACGAGGACGAGGACGAGGACGTACAGGGCGTCGCTCCGAAACCTGACGCGACGTCGAGTGCGAGCTGTGCTGTGCTATGGCTGTGACCGATCTGTACAGGCAGGCAGGAAGGGAGGCAGGCTGTGCACGGGCGGCATGTCCGACAGCCGTCGTCAGCGGGGCGCCAGTCCTAGCCTGCTGCTTGGTTTCGGATACGGACCGCCTGCCGAGAGCAAGGCATACGGTTACGTTGGGGTTCCGTAACGACAGCGGCGCGTGGGCGATGGTCGTGACGGCAGGCGCAGAGTAGAGAAGCTAAGGCAGGAGGAGTCGTGACAGCATCGTTGCTGCGTCGCCCACAGCCCAGAGGGCGGCACGGCCTACTTACAGCCTAGCCGGGGCCATCCAGGCCTGCCTGGCCTGGCCGGGCATTCGGGTCTTCCACGACGGAGACGCGCAGCTCCGACGACGGGGTACCCACATCCCGCCCAGACCCCAGCACCAGCCTCGCCTCGCCTCGCCTCGCCTCGACTCGCTCTGCCTGGCTCTGCCTCGTCGTCGACGTTTCTTCCCATCTCGCAGTCACCAGGAGGCAAGAGAGGTGCGATGCGATATGGACGGGATGACGCGAGGACGCCACCTCGCCCTGTTGGGTCATCCTGCATATCTGTTGCGCCGACTAGCTGTACGTACGCTGCCAAGCCCTCCCGCCAGGCGTGGGGTACATGGGCGCCTCTGTTGTGCGTGGCGTAAACAGCCGTGGGCGTAAAACCCGCCATGCCGTGGCTAGTGCCGGCCCTCGAGGTCTTTGAACCACACGCACACCTCTCGCCGTCTGCTCTGGTCCTGAAAGTTACGGACCCGGTAGTGCCACCACGATGGGGCTCTCAAACCCTCGCAACAGGACAACAAACAAGGGACAACAAACAGAGGAAAACGACACCACGTACGTGCGTGATGTACGATACGCTACGTTGCGCCCTCACGGCAAACGCCTTGGGCTGGCGGTCTGGCGGTCTGGCGGGCTGGCGGGCTGGCGGGCTGGCGGGCTGGCGGGCTGGAGGGATACCGCGTACTCGCATCAACGCACGGCAGGCCAGGCAAGGCGCGGTGCGCGACCCTTGAGCCCTTCGGATCCGTTCAGCTCGTTGTCCAGGGCTAGCCTAGCGCACAGTATCAGTGCAGTCAATAAGATCCCGAGCTGGGACGACGACGAAGAAGGCGCGCTGACGGCGCTGTGGTCCTCGGTGAGCTCCATGAGCCAGACCGACTGGGCCAGGCCACATCCATCCGGCTTCTGTCCATGCATGGCTACAATTACAGAGGGAGAGAGAGGGAGAGAGAGAGAGAGAGAGAGAGAGAGAGAGAGAGAGAGAGAGAGGAGGAGGAGGAGGAGAGA